CAAAAGCAAAGTCGAAGTCGGGATGAGGAAGACTATTTCTTTAAATCAAGAGTGAATCAAAAGACAATAATGTTAAACAGAGCAAGAACAAAGGTTGGTGCAGAATTATATGATAACAATAATGTGTTAACTAAGTGTTACATCCTTGGCCTGTCTCAAATTTCGGCTAGGTGAAGACAGTAAAAATCAAAATGCATAACGAATTTGCAAGCAAACCGGAATACAATCAACGTTTGGCCGTGGTGAGTACCTAATATATTTGTTGTACAGTAAAATACTTTATGTTGCATTCATATTTACTATAATACAGTACAACTTCACACTTCATACATCTAGTTCGAGTTCTGAGCTATGTGGTGTCGAAGTTCTAGACATGTTGGTATTAGCGACATTTCTTTATACTGTTTTAAATTCACGTCTATACAGATTGTTATTTAACTATCATTCTTTGCCATTAATTTGGATTTCAGAGCATCATTCATCACTATTAATGAGCAACCTCTTATTCTACTACCAAACAGTACTTTAATAATGATTTGTTATTTTATTCATTCTATAATACATATATTACAGTTTGCTCTTATTTCGTTTCACAAGTATATCTATTAAATCATGGACACAGTACACTTTTCCTTCATTCCTCTCTTCTCCAAACTTCACTCAGTATCCATTCGAATACTAAAGAATTTATTGAAATATGGTAATTTTAGTGAAATATGTGCATAGTTGCATTCCTGAAAAAGCCTGGAATAGTTTCGTCACAACACTTAAGTCCACATCAAGTAAGAATTAATCTGTCTCCTATTATTTGCCATCAGAATTTTACATCATCAGAGTAAAATGGCATCGGAGACTCAAATATACTTGAGCTCATTTGCGTACGGCTTAAGGTGAAAAGGACTTAGTGTTTGCAATACTCCACTAATTATCGATTTCCAAACGAAGCACTTGAAATTAATTGTTTCTTTCTCTTCAAGACCCACCACAAAATCTTTGATCAAATATAGGAGGAGCCTGGAAACTCACTTTCACCAAATTCATAAGAAGTCTATTATTTGGCATCACACTAAGTGCTTTGCTGAAATTCAGCAAGAATACACCCACCGATTTCTCGTTGTTTTCTTGCAATAAGGAGGTTTGTTGTGCAAGATAATCCCATCCTAAAATGCTATTACTCTCTGCTTGACAAGTTTTTGGGTCTCATTATAAAGGCTTTTATGATTATTCTTTTCACAATTGCAAGTGCTAGGTTAGTGAGGCTAATAGGTCTGTAGTTTGATGGGATTGTCGTAATCCTAGAGTGACAATTACATCCTTCCGACATACAGCGAATCTACCTTGCGAAATATTTTGGGTATAGTTCATTTGGTCATGTTGATTTTCTGGTGTTTAAAGTACTAAGAAGTTTTAGTGCGTCGTCTACATCAAACTTCACAGTGAGTGGATGAATTCATGACTTCGTATTTTGGCGTAGTCCTTCGTTTCGAAGGTGTTGAGTGAACGGTGTGCCGCAGTTTTTCTCCATGCCCTCAACTTTGTCCTGGTTTCCCTTCCTCATTTGACGCACGCATCATTCGTAGCAGTAGACAATGGGGTTAAAACTTTATTGCTTCAAATTTTATGTCGTGGACATTCGGCCTCCTTTGACATGAAGTAATTTGCCTCTATATGGGGATACCCTTCTAACTGTCTCCTCATAACGCTCGCCTGAGCTAGTAATCACGAAGAGCTTAGACGACAACTCCGATCACATTAGGAATGCAGACAACACAAGCTCAACACTTCACTACATGCGTAGACAATACAGAGCAGTCACCCTAGAGTTGTTCCTAACACTTTAGGACTGACGTTAACCCCACCTTGAAATCCGCAATGTGAAAAGACAGGAGGAAAAGTGGTTGATAGGTTTAAAATACAAATCTCGGGAGGCCAGACTCCGAAACTGAATTATTCTCGCTGGAGTAAGTGATAATAAGGTGTGGTCCTACAAAGGCATGCGATATATTCATAATAAGAAGCCACTCCAACACGAACATATTAGCGAGACATCACCATCACACTCCTCGGAGCAACCATTTAAAGTTTGCGCATCAGGAAGCAAACACCCAGGTAGGCTATCAGTTTTTCTTAGGAAGAGTTGCCACATTTTGGACATTCAGCCGAAGTGACCACAGCCATAAGAGGATATTTGAAAAGCAGGTACTAACCGATGGACTAAAATCGTTCTGTTCGACCAGTTGAGTCTGATTCATGTCTCATAAGTTGCCACGGTTATCATCACAAGATATCAAGAACTGCTTCTTATGTATATGTTTATGGTCTCCGTTCATGTCTTTTTATTTAAATTCCTCCTTCTTGCACATCACTAGTTAATTATTTTATTTGTTACCCTTGAAAAAATCATCTTCACTTAGCACTCGAATTTTCGGTTTATTGTTTTCACGCTCCGAACAACCGATCTCCTCCTCGTTAATGCAATAGACGCTGAAAACAGGGTCTTTTTAATCACGGTACACATGCACACACCCAAGCCACAAGATATACAAACCAACAAATAACTACCAAACTGACTAAATTAGTGCTATCGAGTAGTTAGACTACTATACTTTAGATATAACCAACTACATGGAAATATAATAAAACAAAACGTAATGAGCGAAAAGTAATCAATTGATTCATACAAACTTATGACAAAAGTATTGAATACTGAAAAAAACACCTCTTGAGACTTTAGGGTATACTTAAATTGTATTAGCTGCCGAGAAGTGTCGATTAGGTAGATCGAAATACCATCACAAATATTGAACGCAGTATCGCTACTGAATGAATGGAAAGAAGATTATGTCAGTCAAGGAACGATGAAATACTCCAACTCACGTCAAGCTTAGAACTCCAAAATGACCTGAAGAAATTATCTGAATGGTCTCATACCTGGCAGCTGCCGATAAGCACTTCCAAGTGTGTTGTGATGAATATCGGTCATCAAGGTACAGATACGTACAGGATGAATGACACTGAGTTATCAGTTGTCCAGACATACAACGACTTAGGTGTCATTGTTAGCCAAGACTTAAAGACCACTGCACACTGCCGAAAATTGCCGCCAAAGCTTTTAGAACTTTATGGTCAGTGCGCGGGGCTTTTACTCATGTCGACGCTGAAACGTTCTTGACTTTGTGTACACTGTTCGTATGTCCTAAACTTGGGTGCTGCTTACAAGCGTCTATCCCCTGCTTAAAAAAGACAGTGAGCTTTTGGAAAAGATCCAGAGAGCAGCAACTAAGCTTATTCCGGCATAGCGAAGCTTCCGTGTGCTGCTCGACTAACCAAGCTAAACCTTTTCCCTTTGTCATATCGTAGAACTAGAGGCGACTTGACTACAGTTTTCAATTTGATTAGTGATAAATTTGCACCTGATATGTCTTCATTTTTCTTGTCTTCCAAAACAGAGAATTTACGAGGGCACTCGAAAAAGTTGACAAGCCTAGAACAAATTATCTGTCAGCTGATTATCGACTTTCCCATCGAATCATCAATGAGTGGAATTCATTACCTCAGCACGTGGTTGAAGCTCCATCCGTAGATCTTTTTAAAAGAAAGTTGGATCAACTGAGAGAACACCATTGCGAGGACTAACACAGGCCATCAAGCCTCCTGTCCTTTCCAAACTGAAACTGAGACTGAAACTGAATAACACGGTTTCCCTTGGCTAATAAATTGAAAAAATATACGTTATATACGTGACTACATGTAATTTGGCGTTTTCTAAAACATAAAATTCACACATAATTCAGTTAAGCAAACCTTAAAATGCGCCACCGATCTAAGGCTCTTCAAAATTGAATTGACCCTCATGTGGTAAATCATTCAAGGTCGTTGAAACGAAAAAGAGGTGACTTTGGTTTCAAGATTTGCATGTGGTTAAATTGTATTTCTATTTTCTATATTAATATTACCTTGGTCGTAGGCTTGTGCTTTTGCTGAATGTTGTCTATTGCTTCCGTAATAAATATAGACACATTGTGTGTACTAGCCGAGTTTTCGACTTACGTTTACATTTGTTCGATTTTCTAACACTTCACAAGTCTGCCTGTTCCTTAGTACACACAATACCTTCCGGCTAAACGTGAACAACTGAAGCTAGCTTTTATCCTATTCCCAGGAGTTAAGTGCATCTGATTTTCACTCTTATTCTAGGGATTTCAGTGAAGCTGCCGAAGCTCCCAACTTTTGAGAAATTTCGGGGAGCTTTGGGGAAGTTCCACAAACTTTTCCCAAATCTCCCCAAAATTTCCCCTGGGTTGCCGATTTGTCAACTTTTGGAAAATTTTAGGGAAATGGCACCAAACCCCCAAATTTTCTTCAAAGTTTACTATTGCGGCTTTCCCGAAATTGGGAGTACTCTTATAAAGACTAGCTTCGTTTCAAATAATCGAACCGTGTATTTGCCGTAAGGTAGTACACAGTTATAGCTGTAAACGAATTCGGGAAAGCATCAATTTGGAGGCTACTATCTCCAATACTAATACAGGTCTATTGACCTATTCAAAAGCGAACTGTTACGAGTTTTGAAATATTGTAAAGCGCCTGTACAAAGTGTCAATTTTTATCCATTTATTTTATATACACGTGTATAGTCATTGGGAATTGTTGAAATATTGTACGTTTACTTAGTCCTGTCTCTCAACTTATACTTTATGGTATTTGTTTACACTAAACCTATTAATTGCACCGTATCATAGTATATGGTATCTTCTTTCTTTTGATAGATAAAGGAAATCCGAAAATCACAATTGGCAAAATTAGCATCGTTTATTGTTTTTGGTCCACTTTATACTTCCTAAGGACAATCAATCTGACATTACTACTCTGTTTTGGTATGTACTGAGATTTCTTATAGAACGAATGTTATCAGCCCATTTTCTCAATAACTAGCGCAATCAGAAGTTTTAAAGGGGGATATATAAACTAATTTTTATTCGTTAATTTATCAACTTCAGATGCAAATGTGAGTTGATTCACACAATTTTTGTGTATAGTTCTGTTTATTTTTCCTGACGTGGCATTTTTTTGTTGGTGTCCCTGGTTCCAGGAATGCAGAAGATATTCTAATTAGTTAGTTAGCAGTAAGGTTGGCTTATCGTAGTACATATATATGCTTTAGCTCCATTGTCATTGACTTCGAATGAATTCTGCAGGAATTCACGTAAAATGAATAATAGGATTCAAAACAGTATTTCTGAAATTTCCACTGTTTCCGGAACATCTTAAATATGTTGAGTATTTAGGTTAAGTTCCTTTATTAGTCTCAGTAACCTCTTATTATGTGATCTTTTGTGATCCTTGTTGTGGATAACAAGTCACTGTTTTCACTGACTTAAAATGTTTAGAAGTGTATCAGACTTTCTAGAAAGTTTAACGAATAGTGGTATTTGTCATTGAAGTTTGAACAATAATTTCTAGTTGTAAACGGTTAAGGTGATCTTTCTAATATGATATGAGACTGAACGGTTACTAAGTTACGATTCGATGATTATCCAAAGCATGATGGACGAATAAGTCTTGTAAGAAATTCTGGCGTCTTCACAGATACAACTTTCTTACAAATCTTTTTTACTTGCGTTTGGAATGCTAACGTGTTTTTTGTATTAGTCGTCCAGTATATCTAGTACGCATATAATTCACTCATAATTCGAAATAACTATATTCAGTCGCAATGCAAAGTAAGTTGAACTTGGACATACGATTCAATCATACCGCGCATTTAATTCAGGTGGTAATACTCCACTCTCAATATATCGCTCCTAATTAAGTTATTTTCCGATTCTCTAATAGCTGTCCATTTTAACGTCGCATATGTCAACATTATGTTAGGTATTGAACAGTCATTAGACATATAGTTTGATTTCAGTGAAATATACGACTTAACCAAACTATTTGAACATCTTTACCAGCAGGTACACGCGACTATTGTTTTTGTTTAGCTATCATCTACTTTTTCACTTTAGCGTAATGATGGAAAATGCTACTCAAGCTTCGATCAGTATAATTCGGTTTTCATCCTATTATTTACTTTAAAATGACTGTAAAAAATGTGTAACACTGTAACACCTCAAGCTCAACCAAATCTATTGATGCTGTGTGTTTATATCAGTCACGTTTCATAGAAAACGTTTCTTTACGTTTGTTGTGCAGTCTCAACATGTATCTCTGATTGATTAAACAACAATTTTATGTATTGATATTGAGCTACAGAAAAAACGTTTTGTCGTTTCACTTAGCCATATGCAGATGGAAAGGAAGTCAAATGTGTATAGATGATAATCATTGTATGTTTTATTCAATATGATTTGAAAGGGTATAAATATCTACTATTACACAACTTGATATTGTAGGTTGCACTTGTTGTTACTTTTCGTTCTGAATTTTGTGTTCTTCGAATGTGTTAATGGAGAACGTAAATGGGATTATTTCGTGTTTAGTCAAGAATGGCCAGCTACTTATTGTTCTATTCATAAAGTAAGCTTGTATTGGTCTTTTATGTTTTGATGAATGTTATTTTGATTGTTAAATGACCATTGTCATGACTTTTTTCTCAATATTGATTGGTGGAGTATTTGGGAACATTTCCGAAAATTGAATTGACGCTCAAGTTCATTTTTCTACTGCATCAATGATTTATTTCTTACGGCTATTCATGATAAATTGTAATTAGTACTGTAAGATCAACTGTCCTTTGTATAAACCATTTTATTTATTGTACCGTTCCGATCACCACCACTAAATTAACCACTTCCATCAATCGGGTGTTCATCTTGTTGTGCTAATGCGATATGGCAACTTGGACCGATGCATATATGTGCCTGGTTCTACCTTGCAGCTGATTAAGTGACCGTTCCGATCATTCTTGTATTTGTTTGTCAATTATTGTTGTCATTATTTTGAATCCTTTGTATTTCTGTATTTTTAATTTACTCATTGTGTTGATATGGATTGTTCCATCATAGATCAGTGAATATATATACCAGGTACCAAATCGTTACTGGCCTTCTGCTAATATAAAGGATCAATCAGAATGATTTAAGGTGTACTTATTTACATATCACCCAACTTGAATTTATTTATACTATCAATCAAATTACCAAGATTGTTCACTCTCATAATTCTTGGATTAATGATGTTAATATTTAGTATTTAATCATATTGATCATTTCACAATTTTTCTTCTATTGTGTCAGTTATTTCAATTTGTTTCTTTTTATCCAGTGTAAACTTCCTTACAAAATCGACGATTTCAATATTCATGGACTATGGTAAGTTACGGGTTACTTCTTTCTGTACATTTCTTGAAATGTGTTGATATTTTTGGAATTAATTTTACCAACTTCATTAAAACAATAAAGAATGTCGTTATGTCTTACAACCGTTCAATACACGTAGATGACCGTAAGCAACCAATATGCAACAAGGACGAGGAAGATTGATACACTACACTCGTAAAATTGGCCCAATACTAACTAGCCCCAAATGACAAGGAAGAACGCAAGATCAATATTTACCAGTCCAAGATCTTTGTCATATTTGAAACGTTAATTTACATAAATTTCAAGACCGAACCACTCAGCAGACCAATTAAGTAACAGTATTAACACGGAACAACAATATTAATGATGGGAAAAACAGAGAACTGGGTAAACAAGTAAGTAGTCCTAGTTTATAAGTGGGAAATGCTATAGCAACAATTTATGGTTCAAATAAAAGCGTGGAACTAGGATAATACAAAAATAATGAAACCAAGATACATAATAAGCATACAATTAATATGCAGTGAGTTACGTTGTTGGAAGTATTATCTGTTATCTATTATGTGGTTGGCTCCCTCAGTTAAATGCTAGTGTACTACAATATTCGCAAGAAAGTAACTCTGTGTTGTGAATCAATTAGTTATGTTCGAAGACCGTGTAGTCGTACCACATTGTTTGACTCGTGAATTTCTGTCACAATAACACTGCAAATTCAGATATTGTCCGTACGAAAGCATTGGCCGAAAGTTATGTATATTGGCTAATAATTGATGCCAAAATCGAACGTTTTGTATTAAAATGATCAGAATATGCTCAAGCTTCAGATGTTCTTCGAAATGCTGAACTTTACTGGGCGTACTAATGGGAAATATTTCTTAGTGACCATAAACACACTTTACAAGTGGCCGGAAGTTCATTGTATGGAATCTACATCAACCAAGGTGACATTGGATAAAGTACGTCCAATATGTGGTTGTTCCGGGTTAGTCTTTGACAATGGTCAAAAATTTTCGTCACTAGGATTTCATCACTTGCGTTCTGAACGGCGCTAAATATTTCAAGACTCCTCTTCCTCCAAATGGGCAGGTTGGATTGTTTGTCGACACTTTCAGAAAAGTATTGTAAAAAACTAGGGGAGTGAAGATCAGAGGAAATACTACTGAGGTTTCTGCTCACATACTATGCGACACCGAATTTTACGACAACTGACTAGGTTTCTCCAGCAGAAACAATGTTTGGGAAGAAAATCAACAGGCTTCTAAACAATTTGAAGCCACTCTCAAGAAGGTTATAACGCATCCGAAGAAAACCAATCAGGATCAAAGTGAACCCTAATGACTGGTTTGCCAATGATGTTTGTTTTAAAAAAGGAAGATGTTGTAAGAGACTATTTAACAATCTGAGGTGAAAATCTATGGAGGCTATCCCATTACTTTGTATATATAGTGTTTATTAAGTATCTTGGTTTCATTATTTTTGTATTATCCTAGTTCCACGCTTTTATTTGAACCATAAATTGTTGCTATAGCATTTCCCACTTATAAACTAGGACTACTTACTTGTTTACCCAGTTCTCTGTTTTTCCCATCATTAATATTGTTGTTCCGTGTTAATACTGTTACTTAATTGGTCTGCTGAGTGGTTCGATCTTGAAATTTATGTAAATTAACGTTTCAAATATGACAAAGATCTTGGACTGGTAAATATTGATCTTGCGTTCTTCCTTGTCATTTGGGGCTAGTTAGTATTGGGCCAATTTTACGAGTGTAGTGTATCAATCTTCCTCGTCATTGCTGCTTATTAGTTGTATAAGGTCATTTACTCTGGTTGCTATTGTATTTTTGTGATTATGAATATACTATCGCCATACTGTTGCTAGTTATGCTTTTGAGTTCTGTGGGAGTTATAATCGTGTTTGTTTTGATAATTTGATCGTTTTGTTTTGATTTGATATGGTAACTTGTTGTGATCCACGTACATGTCAGGTTCTACTTTACTTGTGATTATCATTACTACATAATTGCTCAAACACAGTCAGACGAATGAGTTTTATCAGCATTTTTACCAAACTGTCATATGGATATACTGTGAATCAATATGAGAGTCTTCGAGTTATTGATAAATCTTTGAAATGTTTCTCAATTTTCAGCTATGATATACATCTTATGTTTTGTCCAATTAAATTGACATTCCACTCTAAGCTCTGACGCGAATAGTGGTGTGTATATGTGTTTTTTTAGGTGTAGTCCTTACATAATCCAACATATTACTTAGCATGATTGCTTACTGGGCTATTAAATAGATGGATGAAGACTTTATGGTCAGTCAGTCAGCTGCAACGTAGGACCAGGCACATATATACTTCAGTCCAAGTTGTCATACCTCATTAGCACAACAAGATGAACACCGGATTCATAGAAGTAGTTAATTCAGTGGTGGTAATAGATAAAAGAAAGATTGCATACAAGGATATAGTACAAGAAGAAAGGATTAGTTGGCAGAAAGAAAGTTATGAAGCGATTTTAATCTCTTAGTTTAAAGGAAGACAGAGAGTGTATACACCGACGCCATTGTGATCGATTCTGAGCCATGTCACCAAGAGTCTCCAACCATTGGTTACGATAGTCATGCGGACCGTAACCAGGTAGTCTGTATCTGCTTTTATTTTTAAAATCGTCCATAGTTTCATAATTCATTTAAGTAGTAATTGTATTATTCTTCAATATGTTTTTATTTAATATAAATAATGATGTCGTTAGATAAACGATCTTTTTTAATTTAATTACATTTTACTTAACTTATATCTTGTTTTTCAATGTAGGCCAGGTATATGGCCATATGGTATTCCGACAAACTGTTCAAACAAAACACCTTTTGATATTGAAAGAATGAAGGTATATTTCTAAAATCAATTTTTTATAATTTTATGTGCTATCGGGTAAAGTTGTAGATTTTAAATTTATCGTATTATTTAATGTCTTCGGGTGTTGTTTACAAAACTGAAAGGATGAAAAGCGGATGTCTGGCGCTTTAACCGGATTGGTTGACATGAAATATCCACCGAGGAGAGTTGGAAAACCTTGACTCCAAACCAATGGTGTACATGGGTTCTAGTATCCCGAAGGAACCAATGGCGTATAAACCAATCGTTGGTGACCGGCTACCATGGGACTGCATCTCTGTACGTTGTCCCACTGCCTTGTAGATTAGATCTTTAGGCCGAAGGCTCTGGGTGTGGCCCCACAAGAAAACCACCTGCTTCGGTTTAGGCACCAGGGTAGTATCCTAGCCGTCACACAAATCGAATGATTTGTAGGGCGCATATCTATTTGTTGCCTTCTTGTACCAATAAATAAATAAATAATTGTTTAATCAGAATTTTTCTTGCCCTTTTACTCAGAAATCCTTTTTCCACAATACTATGATTGTCTTGTGACCGTTAACCGATAGTCTCATATACCTACGTTTATGAGCTATATTTTAGTTGTGTAGCATATATGCTGTTTATATACTTAATCTGATTTTTGTGAAGAGGCTTTGTTGACATTGATGCCAAACTGTAGTTCGGCAGATTCATCCTTTATGGCCGACTATATTGCATATAGTGCATCTATGATTTTTGAAGTGGAAAATCTTTGAGAAGTTCCACGCATCACTGTACCAATATTTAGTTGGATACGAAATAATAACGTTTGTTTACGGAACATTTTATTTTAAATGTTAACCGTTTCATGGGAACGGATTTCTCATATGTGTTTATGCAGAATCGGTTTTTGATGTCGATAGTGGTGATATAGTGAGTCGACCAAATATCTTCTCATCCCCATGTCATTCACAAATGGGAGCAGAAGTAGTTTTGAAAATGGGTATAAGGGGAGGGTACGACGGAGTAAACCACTCAGAATAATCCCACACCCATCCTCACTTAGGGGTGTATCACCAGCAAAGTCAATGTTCGGAGGAAGGACTCCGATTTCACTTGGTCCCATGTATCCACATAGAAGAAATCCAGATTATAAACCCAAGGTGAGGAGAACTGAACGTCTTTCCCCTCAACGCTCAAACAGCCAGACTTATTTTTCAACAAAAAAGATGATATAGCAAGCCAATCAGAAGTGGTCAGACGAGAAGAAATTATCTGAAGGGCAAATGCATGTCATTGGCTAAATAATGTTTTCTATCAGTATCAGATCTCGAACACCACCCATTATAAAAAGTGGTCGCATGCTTTTGTTTTCTCGTATGATAGGTGGAAATGAAATAACGCCACCGACTGTTACTACAGAATGCCGACGACTAAAAACTCGTAACAGGATATAGCTACGTTGAAAAAAGTAGGTATATGGGACTATTGGTTAGCGGTCTCAAGAAATAATAAAATAAGTTTATTGTAAAAGATGTCTGATAATCTAGTCTATGTATAGTAAGATAGCTTCAGTTATGTGGATTTGTAAGTTCACAAGTTCATCTTATCTTGGAATCATTCAGTTATGGCTTGTAATCCAAATTTGTTTATTTAATTTCGAGCAACCGTTTCTCACAAAAGCTACGGAAACTTGATGGCCAAATTAATTGTTTCATTATCACAGAAGCTTTCATTGGTATTTATAATGCATGTACCTCAGTAGACAAATATGGATTCATACGGTCGGTTTCAACCTTGACTGTTTTGTAATATATGACGACACTACTTGGTTGTACAAAACTAAGTAGGTAACTACACATTGCTTTGCCTGCGTGTAGTTTCGTTTATTCTAGATCTTCAGTACTAAGATTATACAACCTTAATAGAAATAGGAAACGGAATTCTCAGTCTTCAAAAAGTAATCCTTATGAAATTTGTGTAGCTTAGAGAACAATATATAGTTCTCAAAGTGTTCAGCTGTTTAAAAACTAATGTTCACTGAGTGGTGTTTAACTTAGTCCAGTTGAAGATGCTTCATTAAATGTTATTCATTTGCTACGTACTCTAGTTCTAAGCTTTAGATGAGCTTCAAAACTCTAATCAACTGGTGGATACTCGAGAGCCTTAACTACTATGTCTCTGTTACATCAAATATTTTCACTTACAAACTCATTTATATTTTAATGTCATTACTTTTTGTGTATGCACTATTTATCCTTCATTGACATTAGATAGCTTATAAAGGATTACATAGTTTAATGAAGTGAAATCTTTAAGACGTATGAAAATCATGAAACTAGACTGATTCAAATACTTTAGTTTGTAAATTCAATTTATCCATGTTTTGTCATATTTTCTTTATTTTGTAGCCTATTTATGATGAATTACAAAAACAATGGGCAAATTTGAATGACTTTAACCATCCCAAAGTTTTTTGGTAAATTTCTATTTTGTTTAAATGTGTACTGATCCTGTTAAGAACTTTTAGGTTCATAATGTAGTCTGATTATCTTAGATATTATTATATAGAATTCTAATACTTCTCAAATAAATTGGAGGTTATTAGCTTTTGTATTCCTAAATTGAGTCATGTCTTTGATGAAAATGTCATGCAAAAGTTTAATTGGATCTCAAAAATCTTGTATTCGGTATGTTAAGTAGAATAATCGTAAACAATCAACTATTTAAGATAGGTTAAATGATCAGTTTACTTAAACAGGTTTTTCCAATCTGAACATCCAAATTTTATATTCTCAAGGTAATCATAAATCAAGTTTATGGTAATAGCATAAAGTCAATGTCTTCGATCATGAATGTGTGTAACACTTTGCTTTCGTAGGTATAATATGTAGTTGTTCCCTCAGTTTACTATGTTACATTAAACGACAGAGATAGAAAAATATCTTTTTTTGCTTATTACTATTAAAACAGTAGCCCTGGGAGTGTTTTATTACCAACTGGAGGACAATCAATATCTCCAGCTTGTAAAGTTCATGATCAACGATTGTTGCCTTATTATTTATTTATTTTAACACATAGGTATAGGTATAAGGAGGCACCAAGTACATATGCACCACACGAATCTCAATTGATTTGTGTGAGGGCTGTGATACTGCTCGGGTGCCCAAACCGAAACAGGTGGTTTTCTTAGGGGACCACACCCCTAGCCTTCGACTTGAACGTCTGATCCACAAGGCAGTGGGGCATTGTAAGGAGATTCAATTCCATGGTAGTCGGCTACCAACGATTGGTTCATACGCCATTTGTTCCTTCAGGATACTGGAGCTAGCCCATGTGCACCATTGGTTTTGGGTCCGGTTAAAGCGCCAAACATTCGCTTTTCGTCCTCTGATTTTCGTAAACAACAGTCGTGGTGCGAGAAGGCAGTGAGTAGGACTTCCTTGGCAGAGGCTATATACGCGTGGCCATGTGAGAGCATTTGGAGAGGGAGAGCGGACTCTCATCACTCTCGGTCGTATCAGGGCATTTGGGGGCACGATTGTTACTACAACACAAACACCTGTATAGAATCCAGATTTAACTTTGGGTACAAGTGAGAGTTTAGCAATCCAACTGATTTTAAGTGACACGTTTATTCTTTAGTTGCGGATTATCAGTTGATGAATGTTGAACACGAAAAACAAGTCATTGTTACGAGATTGGATAATATAACGGGAGATGATGTTCAATTCAATGGTTTTGTCTTCATAACTGAAGTTAAGGAATATATTATGATTAAGCCTTCAATATGAAACAATGTCTGACTGTATCTTACAGGTGATACTTAATTAAGAATCTGTTGTTGAATGTTCACTACATGCAACAATATGAACGATGTAATTTGTTAACTTTGTCTTTCTTTAGGCACTTCTGATAAAACAGCTCAATGATAACGTCTTGAACTGTAAAGCCAGGTGACACGGGCTTGGGTCCCACGGGAGCATCAATTTTCTTTAGATTGCAGTGCCAACTAGCAATTCCCTTCTGCCCACACTGTGGAAGCGTACTTATCAAGATGCTTTAATAGGACATTAGGTTAGCAGTAGTTGTAACGATCTGAGAGCGCGACTGGTAAACCTTAAGGGACAACTGGATAAAGCGAGAAAGATTCCCTTCTTTCCATTAGTTTTATGTTTATTAGCTCCATGCTTTTAACGCTTTATCCCTTTGTTAGCAATCTGTCGGGCCAGTAATATACACTAAAAATATTGAAGGGTAAAAAAAATGTAAATAGTCCATTGGTATCATTTTCAGGTTACATTTGTACTTGTGAGAAAATTTCACTCCTTACTGTTATCGAAAAAGAAAAAAATACGGACTCGTGTTTATTCCACAGATCAAGCTTCTTAGGTTAATGGTTGCACGTATGGTTTCACAATTAGACCAAGGTCTCAAACAAAATGATTATACGTGACACTATAGTTCTTATAAGTTGTGAAGTCAATGTAATTCGGTCACTTAATTCTTAATTATGCATTATGAAGGTAAAAAAATATCTAGATTGTTTTGTAAGTACTTCTCAACAACGACGTAAATTAGCCTTACAATTTCCCTTACTTAATTAGTATCAGTGATAATTTAATTAGAATGGAAAGTAATGGCAACAGTTGTTGTTCACTTGACACTGATTGGTGAATTCAGATTATTTGTAATGGATGTAAACTTAGACAAATATAAGTTCTTTTTTTTCAGTTCATAAAACGGCACGAATTCAGTAGGTCTCGAATAGCTTCTGCCAACTTGCATCACCTGTAGTGTAGCTGATGTATCTGTCTCTTAGCCAAAGGACGAGTTTACTGCGCAGCAATTCGCTTCGTCTTAATTTATTTGTGTGAAACATGGTCGTTAGGAATGCAGAATATTCGGAGGTTACTAATATTGGATCATAGGTGTCATCGAGGCATTACTCATGTATTTTGGGACCACCGAGTAAGTAATACCTGGATTAGGAATAAAGTGTTAGATGATGAAGATGGGAAATCGCTTGATGAGGTTATAAATCTTCATCAACTGATTTGGTTGGGACCTGGTACGTACTTTCAACTCCTATCTACCTCGACGAGCTATGTTTTCTGGCTCAGGAGTAGTAGGCTGGATGAAATTCGGGAGCGGCCAAACCAAAATGTGGCGTCACTTCATGAAGTTAGTGACAATTAGACTTGGCAATGTTAATAGGTACAGACTCATAACTTCTGTTGTATCTGTTTCACATTGATATATATTTTCTTAAATTGTACCTTTGATTCCTGATCTTTTCAGTCATCACTCATACTGTTACTATCTCCTTTATTCTGGGATTTGGCCTGACAATTTCATCTCTTTATGTTGATGGAGTATGACAACTTGAATCGATGCACATAAGCACCAGGTTCCATATTATGACTGACTGGCTGATAAACTAATATTTAGGAAATTCACATCTGTGATCAAACAGTTTCACCTTCTTAAAAATTTGCGTACTTTTTATCTTATACAACATGATAATATTGTTATTACGAAAAAAGACAATATTATTCATGATCAGAGATGGGTAGTGGCTAGGAGTGGAATCCAGGACGCACGAATCTAGTTTGACGCGCGTTTCCTTCCTATTTGGGACTTGTCAGCTGGGTGTACCTGCATCTCAGAGTCGATGACCACTTTGGGACTCAACTCTGAGATGCAGGTACATCCAGCTGACGAGTCCCAAATAGGACAAAACGTGGGTCAAACTGGATTACACTGCGCGCCACTATCCATCTTTGCTTTTATAGAATAGTGATATAATTGATCGTTCTAATCCGTTTAAAAAACTTTGAGTTAATATTATGTACAAGATCCATTAATGAATGTCATTTAAATTGCTTAGAATATGGATAACTTCTTTAAAATATATCGCTTTTATTTATTTGAACATATAAATAATAGTACAAAGAGGCATTGAATAAACATGCGCCACAGAGGTCACTTGAATTGTGTAAGGGCTATAATACTTCCCGGGTGCCCAAACCAAAACAGGTGGTTTCCTTAGGGGGTCACACCAGGAGCTTTCGATCTAAAGGTTTGATCTACAAGGCAGTGGAGCAACGTAAAGAGATGTAGTCTCATGGTAGCCGGTGACCAATATTTGGTTTATCCGTCATTTTTCCCCTCAGAATTCTGGAGCCCATATACACCATAAGTTTGGGATGAAGGTTTTCCAACTCTCTTCGGCGAACTTTCCGTGTCCACCACTCCGGTTAAAGCGCCGGACATTCGCTTTTCATGTTGTCAATTTTGTAAATAATATCCCCGTCACCAGAAGACAGTAAGTAGGACTTCCCTGGCAGTGGCTATATAAGAGCGACTATGTGAGAGCATTTTAGGAGGGAGAGCTGACTTTTTTCACCCTTGGCCGTAACAGGGTATTTGGGGGCCCTAGGAACCTATTAAAGAATGTCATTGAAATAGTTTGGAATGTGAATAACTTTTTTAAAATATCTCGCTTATTAGTTTATACGATTAATACTTAATGTACTAAATTCATTTCAGTATAAGTTAGTTAGTAAATTTAAGTAACTTTCTTTGTACTTTTATTATATCATCACATGGGTTCACATTTTGATTCAGTCAGTCAGCTGCAACGTAGGACCAGGCACATTTTGATTACTGTATTGTAAATTGTTTTTAATAGAACAAAGTAATTGTAGGTGTTTTATTATGTCATAGATTTTTTTCCATTAAATACATAATGTGTAAATACTTAGTTTGTTGTTATTATTTTTATAAGTACAAAATTACATATACAATGAATAATATTAGTACACTTATTCATTCTATACAAACTGGAGTCTGTACTGATGATTTTGTTCAGAAAAACAATAAAAGTTCCACAATCAAACCATCCAGTTCAAAGAATTAAACTCTATCTAAATTATCCATATGAGCTACAAATATTCTCCATCTATATCAGTGAAGTTACCATTGCGTTTAATAAATGTTTTTTTGTTTTTTTCCAGGATTTATTCACTCGGATAGATTAGGGTCATCTTATTGACTGAACTGTTTGTTCAATAGTCAATAGTCATCTTAGTCCCATACTAGAATGAAACGGCTATATAATACTTCCAGGTTTTTCATGGTCATGTCTAGCTTCAATTAACTCATGAATTCAATTATTAAATTACTAAAATTTCCACAAAATCCATCTATGGTCTTTTTTTTGTTCTAGGAAACATGAATGGAGTAAACATGGTGTATGTGCAGCAAGTGATTATTCACTTATATTAAGCGAATTGGACTATTTCAATGTATCACTTGGGATAAAATCGAAAGTGAATTTAATGAGGTAATATTTTACGTCAACATGATTGGTTGTTTTCTTTTTGTATATCAATGTTTAGTGTGCAATTATTATTTTGTTAGTTAATGTGTAAAACTAGAATGATGAGAAGGAGGAGGAAACTACTGGTCGAGGTTCGCTTTATGGCTCGCTAACGAACAATTGATGAATGATCCTACACTGTCTGACAATATAATGATACCATCAATTAGAGAACAGCGAATTATCGACCAGACCAATGACGCATAAAACCCGTACGAGCCGTCTAGAGTCCTTATCGGTCCTTCTTCCTACCTAACCCTGTTTGTTAAGTCCAGAACACCAATCTCAGCTTCTGCGATATGAATCAAGGATTGTATCTTGGTTAACAAGCATCTATATAACAACTAGACTTCTCACTCTAGTTAGGGTAGGAGGGAAGTAGAGGATAATAAATAGTCTTGTTACAGTTGTAAAATCGTAGTATAGTGCATGTAGACATCCCCGACCGTAGCTGCTACCATGACGTGGTGGTCGGGCTTGCCTATCGTGATGACCCAACCGAGCTATATTGGCTGGAACACATGTTCCTGCAGGTTCTACCATGCCAGGCAGGTCGATTGGAGAACGGTAAGACTAAAAGCAGCACCTCAAGGTCTGAGGGCGAAGTCGTACTGCCGACTGTACAGAGGTGTGACAGCAGTAAGGTGTTTCCCTTGGACAACCAGCGTCTGCAGTGATGCTGCCTTCTCACAAGGAAGGAAGGGGTTAGAAAAGGTCGACCCTAAAAATGTCACACCTCACCTTACCCCACGGATTTCCGTCTCAGGCGGTAAGGCCCTTTGAAGAACGTAGCTAACATAGTGAAAACTTCCCACAAAAAGACCGTGCGCGACCGGCCTCAATCAGTTGTCCCTTGGGCTCTGTGGTCACGCTCCCAGGTCGTTAAGACCAACACTAATCCGATTTCCTTTTCAGGTCCCCCAAGAAATACCCTTCCACAGTGTGGGCAGCCCGGAAGTGACATCAGTCCTCATACCCGTAACAGCATACGAGACCAAATTGGTTACATTCAAATCCCTCCTACACCTCCTATTAACTCTCTTATCTCCACGACCAACCCTTCTCACGTCCCTTTATCACCTGGCACCGCTAGTGCAAACGATTCAAGTACGCGGAACGTTATTCATGGTCTCATGAAACCAAGCTCTAAACTACACGTAGGAGCTTTCAACGTCCGAACACTGTGCCAAATAGGACACCAGGCCTCCTTAGCTAGGACTTTAGAATCTCGCTCCATCGATGTGTGCTGTGTCTCCGAAACGCGCACACAGGATCCGAGTAGTGTCATTCATCTGACCTCACCATATCAAAGTAACGAACCAACCCGATTTACGCTTCGTGTATCTGGAAGCCCTGATGCTGCTTCCCGTGGCCTCGCTGGCGTAGGTATAGCATTGAGTCCTAGGGAGAGTCCGCTCTCCCTCTCGAAATGCTCTCACATGGCCATGCGTATATAGCCTCTGCCAGGGAAGTCCTACTCACTGCCTTCTCGTGGCGGGGGTCTTGTTTACAAAAATGAGAGGACGAAAAGCGAATGTCTGGCGCTTTAACCGGACCCCAAACCAATGGTGCACATGGGCTCCAGTATCCTGAAGGAACAAATGGCGTATGAACCAATCGTTGGTCACCGGCTACCATGGGACTGCATCTCCTCACGATGCTCCACTGCCTTGTGGGTCAGACGTTCAGGTCAAAGGCTCGGGGTGTGACCCCTAAGAAAACCACCTGCTTCGGTTTGGGCACCCGAGCAGTATCACAGCCCTCACACAAATCAATTGAGATTTGTGTGGTGCATATGTATTTGGTGCCTCCCTGTACCTATACTTATGTGTTAAAATAAAATAAAATAAAATAGGGCAGAACTAGCTCTCTTAGACTGGATCCCAGTAGACAGTCGTTTGTGTGCTGTCCGACTAAACGGAACAGTAAGGACTCGAAAAGATAGGGACACTCGTCGTTGCCTTTTCGTTGTCTCTGCCTACTCTCCCACTGACTGCAGCTCAGATGATGTAAAAGATGAGTTTTACAGAAAGCTTTCCGACCTTCTCCGAAAAGCTAGGCGTTCAGATGTAGTAATAGTGGCTGGTGACTTTAATGCTCAAGTAGGTAAACTAAGCGAAAAGGAAAGACACCTGGGTGGATCTTATGGTGTCGCGGCTCAAAGAACAGATAACGGTGACCGTCTGTTGCAGCTATGCTCAGATAACCGCCTGTTTCTTGCAAACACTAACTTTAAGCATAAGGAAAAACATCTTTTGACATGGCGACCCCCTAATTCGTCTCAACACTGGACCCAAATAGATCACATCGCTATCAGCCACCGATGGAGGGCCTCGATAGAAGACTGTCGCTCATTCTGGGGCACATGCTTAGACTCAGATCATGCTCTGGTGCGAGCGCGTATTTATCTACGTCATACTGGACGGAGGAAAGATGGTACAAGGAAACCCTTTAGGGTCCTACTTAATGATAGTCAAGCTAAGAGTATATTTCAGGAACAACTAGAAAAACAGTTAGGCAGTCATGTAAGTGATGCCCCCCCCGAGGCAGCGTGGAATGATATCCGAAAAGCTGTAGAAACAGCAGTGATGTCTGCAAGTACGGTGAACCATAAGGTTAGGGAGAAACACTGGATCTCAGCAGCATCTACCGCACTGATAGATGATCGAAAACTCATTCCATCTGGCTTTGAACATAACGAAGAGCAGAGTCAGCTTGAGCGTAAGCTGACTAGAAGCAATAGGTAACAGCAGGCAACTGTTCAGACTTGTTAAGGAAACCGGTATTAGGAACCCAACTGTTAGCGAAACAATCTCAGAGAAAGATGGACATATTATTCATTCTCAATCCAGGAGATTGGACCGATGGGCAGAACACTTTAGGGACCAGTTCAACTGGCCTTCAGCCACACTTCGGTTTCCCACGGTTTCCAATCTACCTGAATGGCAAATTAATGTAAGATTTCTGACTCTTTACGAAGTTGAAAATGCTATAGGAAATCTGAAGCGTGGGAGAGCAGCAGGCCCTGACAGGTTTGCCTCTGAGATTTTCAAGGATGGCGGTCCAATATTAGCAGCGAGATTGACTGAGGTCTTAGGTAGAATCTGGGAACTGGACGTAATCCCATCTGACTGGTCTCAATCACTGATTGTACCAGTCTATAAGAAAGGACAAAAGTCTTCTTGTGACAATCACAGAGGTATTAGTTTGACTAATATAGTGTCTAAAATATTAGCTTCAATAATACTTCGACGCCTAACTAAATCTCGTGAGGAGCAGACTAGAGAAAACCAGGCTGGTTTTCGACCTGGACGTGGTTGTATTGATCAAATATTCACATTACGTCAGGTCCTAGAACATATACACACATTCAGACGCCCCACAATGGTAGTATTTCTCGACCTTAAGGCGGCATTTGACTCTGTTGATCGTGAGGTTCTATGGCAGTGTTTGTCTCTGAAAGGAGTACCAAAGAAGTACATTTACCTTATAAAGGCTCTCTACTCGAACACAACTGGTCGAGTGAGAGCTTATGGTGAACTGTCATCAGAACTGATTACCTCAAGTGGTGTTCGTCAGGGCTGTCCACTCTCTCCATTCTTGTTTAACTTTGTCGTTGACGTCCTTTTAGAGATGACACTTTCCTCATCTAAATTTCCAGGAGTTGAACTTCTACCGGGAGATCCACTTGTTGACTTAGAATATGCCGATGACATAGTTCTATTTAGTGAGGACGCTGACAAAATGTAGAGTCTGCTGACCACTCTAAGCAAAAATGCAGGCATGTTCGGCATGCGATTCTCTCCCTCGAAATGCCAAATGTTGCTTCAGGATTGGGTTGCATCGACACCCGAACTAGTGATAGGAAGTGAAGTAGTTGAGCGTGTCGACCGCTTCACTTATCTTGGAAGTCTCATCAGCCCTTGTGGTCTGGTGTGTGACGAAATCTCAGCACGGATACAGAAGGCTCAACTAGCTTTTGTCAACTTGCGTCATTTGTGGCGTAGGCGAGATATCCGTCTATCAACCAAAGGACGGGTTTACTGCGCAACTGTTCGTTCTGTCCTACTTTATGGCAGTGAAACATGGCCGGCAAGAGTAGAGGCTATTCGTAGGTCACTAGTATTTGATCATAGGTGTCTTTAAAGCATTGCTCTTATGTCCCGGGACCACCGAGTAAGTAATGCAGTTGTTAGGAAACGTGTACTAGATAAGGATGGTAAATCAATTGATGAAGTAGTGAAACTTAATCATTTGAGTTGGCTGGGACATGTGTTGCGCATGCCCGACCACCGATTGCCCCGACGCGTGATGTTTTATGATGTAGGAGTAGGTTGGAAGAAATTAGGGTCGGCCAGACCAAAACATGGACAAATTCATGAAGTCACTGACAAGTGGACTGAGCCGTGTTGGTAGGTGTAGACTACCTGGTTGGGGACCGCGAGATGATAGCAACCGATGGTTAGAGACCTTGAATGACATGGCTCAGAATCGTTTGCAATGGCGCAGGTGCATCCACTCTTTGTGTTCTCTCAAACTCTAATCTTCTGAATTCTTTATGTCCTTTATTTTCTTTCCGAATCTATTCCACTGGACTATACTCCTTAAATAACATCATCAAACCCTAATGTTCCCTATCACTACTTATACTTTTAGTACCTCTACCTCTACGTGATTTGAATCGATAACTGAATCTCTGTGCTAATGTGCTGTGACAACTCGAACTGATGTACGTACGTACGAAGTTCCACGTTGTGACTGACTGCATGTAGACATCGATTTTTCACGTTGCTAGTTTCGTTTTACTTTCTCCACTTTTAAGGATTATATTATCCAAATGATTCGGTTATGTTTTATTACGGGGTTTTATTAATCGATGAATATATTTGTACATGAGAGTTATGCGCTGGGTAATTTTTCTAGTCGTTGGTGAATTAGATCTTCTGATCAAAGTGTCAGTTGCG